AGATATTTTGAAATCTTGGTGTGGTATGTTTGAATAATGTTGTTTGTGTTGGGAACAGCAATGTCAATGAGAATGGCTTCGTTCGTGTGTTTCTTGATAAGTATGATGTCTGGTCTGTTAGCTGTAATGTTTAAGTCTGTAAGTATTGTGCGATCCCAGTATAATTTGTATTTGTTATTTTCAAGGAACGGAGATGGAATGTAAGTGTAATACGGTGTCGTATCTTCGATTAAGTTCATAAGTGTTGCTAATTCTTTGTGGATGATTTTGGCGACGTTGTCGTGTCTAGCTTTGTAGTCAGTTTGTGCTAGGATGCTGCAAGAAGAGATTATGTGCTGGATCGTTTCAGGTTTTGCTTTGCAGAGGCGACAGCAGTCGTTTTTTATGTTCGGATCTTTGATGATGTATTTTTTGTAATTCTTGGTATTGATTACTTGGTCTTGAATAGCAAACACAAATCCTTCTGTTTCGGCATACAAACCTGATTTTTTTAACCAAATCAATGACATCTTCTTATTGATATGAGTTTCTTCTAAGTCTTTGTAGAATTTTCCATGTAGTTGTTTTTGTTTTAGCCCACTTATTATTTTATCTATTGTGTGGGGGGTGTGGATTTCTTCGGTGTTCGACAGATTTAAGGGTGTGTGGTTCAAATCTGCTCTTGTGATGGTGCGAAACATTTCATTTCTTTCCGCTCGTTTCAAGAAATACTTCTTCAAATCTGAGATTTGTCTCTGACATAAGTTTTCTAGGTTCTGGAAACCCCTTCCTCCATTCTGTCTTGGTAATGAGAATCTTTCAATCGACGATTTTGGATGATGCCTTCTATACTGTGTGAAGATTTTCCTTGTTGCGATGTTTAAATTTTCAAGATCAGTTTTGGACCATTTAATGACTCCAAAAGAATATGTTAGTAGTGGAACGCAGAATGTATTTACTGCTTTCATTAAATTTTTTCCATTTAACTGTGTCTTCAATATTAATTTCAATCTCGCTAGGTATTGATCTTTCAACTGTGTTTTCGTTTTGGTATGATTGATGTGTGATGATTGACAGAAACCCAGATATTTGTATGTATCGTTTCGTTCTTGTGCTTCGATTATTTCGTTATTCTGGGTTATATGTGGTACTTGGTGTTGGACGCCTTTTCTGATTGCTTGGGTCTTACATTTCTCAATACCAAAAGACATACCAATATCACCGGAAAATTGTTCAGTCAGATTTAATAGGTTTGTTAACTGATTTTGTGTACTTGCATATATTTTTATGTCATCCATATACAGCAAGTGACTTATTCTGTTTTCTCTTTGTTTGTTAATTCTTATATTGAACCCATAATTGCAACTGTTCAGGATATCGGAGAGGGGATTTATTGCTAAGCAGAACCATAACGGACTAAGAGAATCGCCTTGAAAAATTCCTCTTCGGATCATTATTGGATCTGACTGAATTGTTTGTTCATTTAAGGTTATTTGAAGGGTGGTCTTCCAAAATTCCATGGAACATTTTAGAAAAGTGCAGATTTTAGTATCAATTTTGTATAATTCCAGAATTTTGCATAGCCAGGAATGAGGGACAGAATCGTAAGCTTTCTTATAATCAATAAAAGCAGTATATATGTTTCGGTTTTCTTTTCTAGCTTGTTCACAGATGATGGAATCTATGATTAATTGCTCTTTGCAACCAAAGGATCCTTTAATACATCCTTTCTGTTCTTCATTAATGATGTTAGAGTTAAAACAATGTTGATAGATTTTTTGTGTAATGCATGAGGTTAATATTTTATAGATTGTTGGTAAACATGTGATAGGTCTGTATTTTGATGGATTTTTTGTGTCGTTATCTTTAGGTTTTAAGTATGTTACACCATGACATAAGAATGTTGGAAAGGAGGATGGGTCAAGAAGGAACTGATTTAAGTGATTTAGTTTTTATTATTGTTATTAATTAAATTATTATTATTTATCAAGTTACTTTGATTTTTACTACCTATTATTTTATAATAATTTCTAATGTTAAAATTATTTATTCTAAATCTATTTTTCTTTTTAGGAATATAACTTTTAACTAAGTTTACTACATCTACTGATAAGATTAGAGACATAATATCTAAAAGAAATGTTAAAACTAATAAAATTAATATATTTGTGTTATTGTGAGATATTCTAGTTTCTTTTATCACGGACATTAAATTATCTTTAACGATTAGTTTGGTTTGCATATTTGTATTCGTAATTGGTTTAAAATTGTTTAGTGAGTTATCTAAATTATTTGTTTGGTGAATAGGGTTTAAGTTGAACTTATTTCTGTCTATAATTATTTGTGGGCTATAATTACTATTGAAATTATCCAAAGGGTTGTGTACAATATCTATTATAATATTGTCTTTGCTACTATCGACATGATCTGAAGTTAAAGACATGCCGCTCATAGTAAATGTTTGTGAATTTGTTGATTTTAAATTTGATGAAGACGAGATTAAAGTTTGTTGTCCCATGTTTGGCGGCGTCGCATGAGACATTATTAGTTTTCCTGATTCTGATTATTATTAATTTGGGTTTCGGATGATGTTGGCGGTTGTGGAATATTGTCAGAAAAATTATGCCATTGATATGGGTATGGATATGGGAAATATAAATTCCCGGGCTGAGTTGAAGCATAAAAAACGTTTGAGTGATTGGTCGTATTATCAGTAGTACGGTTCCATGATCTAGGATTCGATCGAAAAGAGGAATTTGATGGCCTAGGCTGGTTTTGATGGAATCGAGAATTTGACGAGATATTAGGTTGGTTTTGATAAGATCGAGAATTTGACGACATATTAGATTGATTTTGATGAAATCGAGAATTTGACGACATGGGTTGGTTTTGGTAAGATCGAGAATTTGACATGGGCTGATTTTCAGGGAATCGAGAATTAGTTGATCTAGGCTGATTTTGGTGGAACCTATTTGAATTATTTGACCTATTTGGATTATTTGAAAAATTGGTATGTTGCGAAAAAGGAAACGTGTTTGAAGAATTTGGCCCTTGATTATTGGTGGGTTGTGTATAGTTTTGTTTTCGGCAGAAATTTGTACGAGTTTCGTAATAATTGTAATGAGATTCTTTTGTACTATGGTTGTTTTTGTTACATATGGCACAATGTTTAGGATTACGGCTATTAATATGTAATAGGGACGACTGAGATAATAATTTATTCGAGTTTAGGTTATTTTCAATTGTCTGTGCAAGTTCGATAGCTTTAGTTATTGTGGTAATGCTTGATTTCGTTAAGCAATCGCGAATTTCGTCAGAAACTAATCCACGACGGTAACATAGTAAAAGAAATTCTTCATTGCTAGCTCTTACTGCCACGATATCATCGGGTGCCAATGTAGAACCTGGGTTAATACATTCCTCGAAAATGTTATTTAAACGTTTGCCAAATTCGGAAACCGATTCATTTAATCTTTGATTCTCGTTCATGAGGCGCATATGCCAGTTGGTACTTTTAACGTTGCACTGCTCCGACAAAATCGTTTTAAGTTCTAACCAACTATTAATTATTTTATTTCGTACTGACTCTAAGGCTTTACCTGTAATTTTTGTGTTAACGAGTAATTTTAAAAATGTAGTCTGTAAGGTTGCGTCAGCTAGTGCTGACATACCTTCAACTTGAAAAATAAATTGAGGTAGAGACGATTTATCACCATCAAAAGGTGGTATTAAATTAATATATGCTATGATATCTTTAATTTCTTTGGCCATTGTGAAGCGATGGTGATTTATATAAGTTTATTATTTAACACGGTATGGTACGAAAAGTAAGTAAAATCACAAAAACTACAAAATGCGTACGGAAATTCGGTACTCACCTCAGCATTTCTTCTAATGATGGTCACTTGTAAAACTTAGTAGCACCGCTGTCACCAAAATGTTGTGGGTTCTTTTATGAAAATAATATATCGGCAGCTTCACAATGTTTATTAATGTGAACGAAGACAGTACAGAATTGGTATCCTCTAAAAGATGATATGCGCTTATATATACTTGGATGGTTTGGTGATAATGAAAGATGACCAATGAGGGGTGGATGATAACAGGATGATTCTTAAAACTAATGGGTTTACATTACAGGTTGTTATACGGATGTTTTATTGCCGTACCATGCAAATCGTAAAATTTGGACTTCACGTAGTACCATTTTTTACTTAGCAGGTAAAAAAGTACTTGCTTGACAAATACAAATGAAAATCAAGAGCTGAAATTAAAAACATCATGTGAAAACAAATTTTTATGACTTTTTGTTGTTTTTCAGAAAAAAATTTAATGTGAAAAATGCTGAAAAGATATAGATATGTACAATTGTGTCTGACCTGGCCTGTCCCTCGCTCCACAGGTAGTTTGCGCGTGGGGTTAGGACCACCTGTGGATCATTTGACCCCGCGCGCATGCGACCCAATGTCATGGCCGGCTTAATTGCTATGTCGGACAGCAGGAGCGCGTTCGGAAATAACAAAAGTAGTGTTGGAACGTTTGAAGGGATGAGTAATAGGCTTGTTGTCCCTTCGATGGTTTATTACGTTCTATCTTAAAATTACAAGTGAGACCTGAGCAGGGTGGGGGTGACAAACCCACCACTGGTCTATCGAATGAACATACCGCCCCCCTTGAAGGATAGGCTTCAAAATTTGAGACATAAATAAATAAAAATTACAAATATCAGAAATGTTAAAGGTCCTTCACTTATTAGTCTGCGTCTGCTGGAAGTAAGCACACCTTTTTTATGGTTCGTTTGTAAACCCCAGTCGATGTTTTCACTGTAACCACCCTCACTACACCATCTAGCCCCGGATGAAGTTGGAGCACTCGTCCCAGTTTCCATTTCAATGGTGGCAAATTGTCCTCGATGATTACCACCAAGGAACCGACAGCGACTTGGGATGTGGAGGATTGTTGACCTTTAGGGCGCCTTTGTAGTTCGGACAGATACTCCTGGGTCCACCTCTTCCAAAACTGTTGGTGGAGCTGCTGCACCCGCTGCCATCGTGAGAGACGATTGATGGGTAGTGGTGTAACGTCTTCTTCTGCGGTGTTCGTCAACGGAGCCCCTATAAGCAAGTGTCCTGGTGTAAGAGCGTTCAGGTCATTAGGGTCAGGAGATAGAGGGGTGAGGGGTCGTGAATTTAAACAGGCCTCAATGCAAACTAAAAAGGTATAAAATTCTTCGTAGGTTAGTGAGGCATCCCCTACTACTCGAAACAAATGATGTTTTACACTACGCACGGCTCTCTCCCAGAGGCCCCCAAAATGTGGTGATCTGGCTGGTATAAAGTGAAAACTTGTTCCTTTTTCGGAAAAATGGTTCGCTAATTTGTTCTCAAACTGTCTGGAGTTAAACAAGGCTCGTTCGGCTCCGACAAAATTTGTGCCATTATCACAAAATAACTCTCGCACATTTCCCCTACGCGATGTGAATCGCTTCATCGCCGCTAAAAAACTATCGGTAGTCAGATCACCTACTAACTCCAGGTGGACAGCCTTAGTCGCAAAACAAACAAATAGCGCAATGTACGCCTTCACACGTCTTTGTGTTCTGGTACGCCCATCCTTTATTAAAAATGGGCCTGCATAATCGACCCCTGATACGTAAAAGGGCCGTGACGGCTCGACTCTTTGTTTTGGTAAATCCCCCATTTTGTAAAAAGTTATTTTAGGGTGAGCTCTGTTGCATTTAAAACAAGAATGTATTATTTTACGTACTGAATTTCGACCACCTTTTTTTAGAATTTTCGTAACCTGACCTTTGATGAGGAGTGCTTCCTCCTTTGAATTGCTACCTGATAATAGATCATCCATATAAAAATCGCGTTTTATTATGTTACTAGCTAACGGGAAATCGTATTCAGCTTCGAGCGCTAATTGAAATAAACACCTGACTGCCAAAAATGGTGCGCATGTGGTTCCATATGTCACTGTATTTAATCGATAGATTTGTACAGGTTCCGAAACTTCATTCCGCCAGAGGATTCTTTGGAAATCGCGGTCATTTTCGTGCATTAAAATCATTCTGTACATTTTAGTTATATCAGCTGAAACTACATATTTATATGTTCTGAATCTACATAGTATAGAAAAAAGATCTTGCTGTAAAGTTGGACCCGTTAACAAAATGTCATTTAAACTAAGACCATTTGATGTCGGTGCCGACGCATCAAAAACAACTCTAATTTTAGGGCCACTAATTGTGTTTTTAAAAACGGCATGGTGTGGAAGGTAGTAAATATTGTCTCCTTCAAGATGTTTTATTGCTGCCGGTTCCATGTGGCCAAGATTCAGGTACTCGTTCATGAAACCGACATAAGCCTCCTTTAGTGAGGGATTTTTGCCCAACTTCCGTTCCAGACCCAAATATCTGTTTAATGCCATGTCGTAGGAATTACCGAGTTGGGTATTTTCCATAAAGGGAAATTTTACAATGAACTGACCGTGAGAACTTCTCGCGTAGTTTTCGCCGAAATGAGTTTCGCATCGTAAATGATCTCCGGACAAAGTCGTACCGCCTTCAATTTCTTCGTCTAGCCATAAACTCTCTAAACACAATTCTAAGTCCCCTTCCTTTAATTTGCTCGATAATAAATTACACGCATTATTATTGACGGATGTTACGGATATCATAAAATTGCCCCCTACTACAAAGCCCAATTTTGTGTTTTGCCAAAATGGTTGATTAACTTCTAACTGAAATGCGGCACCGATTAACAAATCCCAATACAATCCCGCTCCTATTAACAAATCAATATCCTTAGGAGAATTAAAATCCTGATCAGAAGGTGTTACATTTGTGGGCACTTTAATTAATTGTTTAGGAAATGAAAAAGATGGAGTCGGCTCTGTGATTTTCGGCACGATTAGACAATTTATGTTAGAGGCGAAATCTGATGCAAGGGATTTTATTGTCACCTTGACACCCTCGTTTATGGAGATAGCCCTTGAATTAATACCTGTTAATGATGTAGCTACCTTTGTTGTAAACAAGCCAAGTTTTTTACACATTTTCGATGTTAAAATATTTGCCTGTGATCCTTGATCAAGTAGGCCTCTGCATTTGTGAAAATTACCGTGTCTGTCCGCGATTAGCACTGTTACAGTGCTTAATAGGACTTGACTGGGCCCTACAGTGTACAAAGATGTTTGAGTTGGATTAAATTCATTAATATGCAACAAAGTGTGATGTTTTTCACGACAGATTTTGCATAAACTCTTTGATTTACACTGTTCGGCCTTATGATTGGTGCGCAAACAATTTTCACACATTTGTAATTTTGATATTTCGTTAAGTCTTTCAACTACAGTCCGCTTCAAAAAATCGTCACACTGATAAATACTGTGGCCTTTTTTACAAAAACTACAAGTGGGCTTGTACACTAGGTGATTAGAGAATGATCTGTTATTGCAATACTTATTATTATTACTATTGTTGTTATTCTTGAATGTATTTGTTGGCTTTGAGTTATTTGAAATTTGCGGTTTGATGGTGGTTAATGCTTCAAGAATTTGATATCGTTTTTCTAAAAATTCGTTAAAATCCACGTATTTTGGAACCTCCTTGTTTAGAACTGTTTGCCATTCCCGTTTGGTGGCATAGTCTAATTTTTCAGTTATAATAGGTATCAAAAGGGCGTCCCACTGGTCCACCGGTAATTCTAAAACCTTGAGCGCTGCAATGTTATTGTTTACCGCATCTAAAAGTTGGCGCAATTCTACATGAGATGATTTCATTAACGGTGTAATATTTAAGATATTTAAAACGTGCTCGTTTACGATTAGCCGCTTGTTTTCGAAGCGTTTAATGAGTAGTTCTAGTGCAGTTACATAATTATCATTGGAAATTGTGAGTGATTCAATAGCTCTGAACGCTTCATCTTTAAGACAACCGCGCAAATAATGAAATTTGCGAATGTCCGAAATAGTTTTATCGTCATGCACTAATGATTTAAACGAATCATAGAAGTTATACCATTCGCTAAGTTTTCCTGAAAAGACTGGTAAAGGCAACGGTTTTAAATTTGTCACGTTTTCATTAGAATCGGATGCAGATTTATTAATATTTATTACTGTAGTTGACCCTCCAGGGCCCGTACACGTATCAGTTTTCAACAAAAACGTCTTAATTTTCGCCACTACCTCATAATACTGATTTTCTACCCCGGTGCGCTCTTTATCGTTTCCCGCGTCCCAGGCTGCCTCATCAAAATCATCTCTATCCGATAATTCCTTAAACTGAAGCGATTCAATATCGCTTTGAATTGCATTGTATTTTTTAAATAATTCCGACAGGTCTGAAAGTCTAGTCTCTAAAGTTACAACATTACTTCCTTCTTTAAAGGCATTTACCGCAGTTTGATGTCGAGTAATGCTATATTTAATGACCTTTCGCTGTGTTTTTAACTCATCCAAAGCCATTTTGTAAAAATAATAAATACAAAAAATATAAACCTAGTATGCAACAAAATCGAATATTTAACAAAAATTGAGGCTTGCTTAAACTGCGCTTTAAGGTAATTAAAAAAAGGAAGGATCTGACCTGAACGTCTCGGACACGGTGTGGACGCTGAGATGGCTCGGGGCTCGGGATCGGCAGCTGCTTTTCTTCCCGACGAACTCCGGACGTGGAAATCGGATGGATTCTTTTTGCGTCACCGTTGCGTGGATTTCTTCCTGACGAATTCCGGGAGTGAGAGTCGATTGGATTTCTTCTTGGGAAATTCCGGGAGTGAGAGTCGACTGGATTTCTTCTTGGCTCGCCTGGTTTTCTTACACCTTCACTTTTACACACACACTACGAATGTGTCGACGCCGTGAAGATGTGATTTGAATAAAAACGCCTGGATCATTTGATCGGGTCTTATAAGAACGCCTGGATCATTTGATCGGGTTTTATTTGTTTTTGCTGATTCAGATGGATGGTTCCATCCGGCTCGAAGGACCAAAAATGTTGGAACGTTTGAAGGGATGAGTAATAGGCTTGTTGTCCCTTCGATGGTTTATTACGTTCTATCTTAAAATTACAAGTGAGACCTGAGCAGGGTGGGGGTGACAAACCCACCACTGGTCTATCGAATGAACAAGTAGAAAGAGCCATAAACAGCGTATGCCGATGCGGATTAATTACTCTAGGAGTGCGCTTTAAAGTTGCTGCTTTCTGAACGGTAAAAGGACTATTTAGGTGACGCGAATAAACGTAACCTCAAAAGTTTGTTTGCATTTGAAACAAAATGAATAAAAAAGCTGCTTAAGGGGGTAATGACTGCTGTGATTGCATCGTCCATGGCAACGAGGACTTGCGAAATTGTAAATCCAACTTGAAATTGGCCCGTTAGTTGTTAATTCCATAAATCATGTGGTAAATCTGCTCGAAATGATTGACACGAGTGATAGTGGCAGTGACAATGAAGAGTTGAATATGACCCTAAACATTCTAAAAGCCAATAAAAACTTTCATAAACAAAACATGACTCGAATAGTTATACGTAGAACGAACCATTTCAGGTTATAGCGAACCACAATTCTAGCAACATTTTCGATTATTACGCCAAGCCTATGAGGCCCTATTCCAGTAGAACCCCTCTTATCCGTGCTAATGGGTGCGCGACCCCCCGCCGGATAAGAGAAAAACACGGATAATAGGATTGATTTAAAAAATGATAAATTTAACGAATTTATTCAAAAAAATACAAATAAACATTAACTTTTATTTAAAATAGTCAGTTATTAATGCCTGTTTCTTTATCATTTGATTTCTTATTTTTCTTTGTAAATTGCGAACACTCATCAAGTCAGCAGCCAGTTGGTGTACCGGAATTCCTTGTCCAGATTTTTGAATTATTTCTGCTTTTTTCTCTAAAGTCAAAACAATTTTTTTCCGCACACCGGACATGGTTCGATCTGTGTCTTCAAAACGACTGAATTCTTAAAAATAACACAACATCCGCCCGAATAACTGAATCTGATTCTTGGAAAAATCGGGCTATCGCACGGATTTGTGAAATCGTCCAAACAGCACGGGTAACTGAGACACGGATAAGAGGGGTTTTACTGTACAAAGAATTGGACCTCATTTGCAACGCAAAGGAGATATTGGAGGTCAAGCCATCAGCACCGAAAAACAAGTGCTTGCAGTCCTTTGGTTACTGGCTACTCCAGATTCATATCGGTAAAAACTGAATTCCATGTTTTACCATGTAGAATTTACATACCTCTGATGTTTTTAGATCTGTCAGCGATAAATTCGATATGGGGAAATCTTCACTGTCTGTCTCATTTTTTAGAGTGGTGAAAGTGTTCAATCAGGTTTTCTGCACTAGTCAGAACACCTACTTGCTTTCTCCCTTTTGTTGCAAATATTTTGGAGTTCTTTGACGGAACAGTGGTTAGTCCAGATTCATCCACATTCCAAATTCTTGACGGTTCAAATTTGTACTTATCCATTACCAGTGACAAATTTTCAAAATGTTTACTAACTACGACCTTATTAAATCCGCGTGCCCTCGCTGCCGATGTAACTTCTGGTATTCTTAGTGAAATGATAGGATGACGCGACTGAAATCCTTTGACCCAGTCCCATCCTACTAGTTGTTCCTTATTAGAGAAACTATGTGCTATTCCGTTTCTCTCAGCAACATCATACGCAAGCTTCCACAGATCTCTTCTGGTTATACCAAAAAACATTTCTTCAAGTCTCTTTATATGTTCCAAAATTTCTTCTTCAACTTCTGGGGTGAAAGTTGGTTTACGCCCTCCCAGGCATCCTTTGCTCCCATTTGATTTTTAATCCGCATCATGCTTGTCGATTCCGGTGCTCTCAGCGAAATGTCAGAATGCCTTTTCATGAAGTCTTAATAAAAATGCTTACCAGCACTGCCTTTCTCTTTATTGAATCCATGATGGATCTTCATGACTTCAGCTAAACGTAGGCTAACTTTAGAAACTCATTTTTCATGAACGGCATACGTCTGTTAGATAAATCTTTAACGTGATCCACCAAGACTTGTTCATACTCTGCTGAGAAGGTGCTAGTGAACCTACCCAACTTTGGTTTCATCAGTACTTCTTCTCCTCGATTTAGCGCCTTTATTTTGTCATGTACAGTGCTTTTAGGAATATTGTATCGCATTGCAGCTTGTCTTAACAACCAGTTCTTTGTGATGTCATCGCGATGTTCTTCACACCTCTTAATAATTTCACTCAAATCCACTGAATGCTTCCTTTTCGTTTTTATTTCAAGTTCTTCCTTTTCATTGAAGGTAGCCTGGAGGGCCAATCGTTCCAACTCTGTTTCTTCAATTTTTTGGTTCGACGACGCCTAGATTTATCTTTTATTATCTTCGAAGTTACAATCTTGTATTTTGTAATGTCATTTTCATATTCCTTGTTTTCAGAATTTAGATGACGCTTCCAAAATTTGCCGTCAGTAACTTTAACTAATTAAATTAAATTTCCCAATTTCTCCGCAATACTTCCAACTTTCCACTTGTTTTTGCCAAAATAATCTCTAAATCCTGTTGCATAATATGTCATATAAATACCGTTATATGTATTACCAGCGCTGCGTAGCAGTCTCCGCGGCGCATTGAATTGGCGCGAATGCGATATTCAGCAAAACAGTACCACCTGCCGTAGTGGAATGTTACTCTCCGAACGAACTCACTAGACATACAATATGTTCAAATTTAGTTGGCACAGTATTGTTGAATTTTACACACACACACACAAGGTCATAGGTAATTTAAATCGTATTTAATTAAAACAATGCCCTATATACACACAATATAATATACAAAAATATAATAAACCTAAAAGTCGTCTGACATTCTTCCAGACACTCCGCCCGCCATCCGTTTGACCTCTTCATGGATTGCTTCCTCTTCTTCATTTTCTGAAAACAAAAATTATTAGGACAATTGCTATTTCAAAAGTTGAGTTTCGTTTCCCTAGTCTAATCTGTTCTTCACGCTCCTCTCTCGCCCAGTGTTGCTTGAACAAGCACTTTTTGAGAATGCTTTTCACGGTTCTCCTTGGTCTTGTTTGCCAGTCCAAGGCCTTCTTTCTAGACTTCTCGGCTTCCTTCCTCTTCTTCGCTAACTTCAGTTCCTGCTTTTTCACTAGGACCAGTCCCATAGCAATGCTTCGTCTTTTGTTCTGAGACAATCGTGAATCCAACTTTACCATTTCGTACTCCATCACCTGTTGGAACACACGCATCTATGGCTAAATTTTTGTGTTCACAGTTAGCCATACCACGACCTCGTCCTAACTTATTGAATCTATGTACATTATAGTTAGGACTAAAATAGTCACTGCTAAAAACATCTTCATTTAGCCAGGTCTCGGTTAAGGCAATTACGTCAAAATCATTAGCAACAACATTTGGATAAAAAGTGTTCACCTTAGTGTTTAATCCTCTAACATTCTGACAGTATAGTTCTAAATTAAATAAGTGCACACTCTGTGTCTGTTGGATATTTATGCATTTTTTGTTTCCTTCTATACTATTTCAGGAACCCCCCTTTTATATTTTAACACGATATCATTTTCAGCGTTTTCCTTGCGAGTTTTGAATTCAGAGCGAACCAAATAGGACATATTTTGCTGACGAGGTGTTAGATCTCGATTCAAATACAGGTCACCTACTCGCTTATAAGCCTTACAAAAGCAGCCTTAAAAAATTTAATAAAAACAAAAGCAGAAATGATGGCTTTTGTTTTTATTAAATTAAAATCATCACCTTGTAACTGCAAATTTGTTTTATTAAATATGCCAAGTAAGTCCGGTAAATATGCGATATCATTTTTCGAAGCAATTAGATTTTCAAGCAAAGTTCCATCTTTGTGTTCTAGAAACTCCAAAACAGTGTCAAAAAGTTTATAAAATCGCTCCAAACAATCACCTTTTGAGAGCCAACGAACTTCTGTGTGAAGCAGCGAACGATTGAGCTCTTCATCGTTTTCATTGCAAAGTTGTGCAAACAATCTGTTCTTTAATGAGTTACTTCTAATTTTGTTGACCGCTTTAATTACATCATTTAGCGAATTATGTAAGCGACTACTCACATTTTTGGCAACTAAATGTTGACGATGAATGACACAGTGTACGGTGAATACATTTGGCACTGCTTACTGCTTGTTTCAAATATGCAAGAAAACTCCTACATCGTCCTACCATTGCTGGAGCACCATCTGTAGCTACTGCTAAGATATTACTCAGAGGATTTTTTTTTTAAATGCTTCCACTGAGTGAAATATTGATAGTATCAGTCTCAAGATTTTTTGTGCTGACAAATCAGGCACATTGGCAAAGTCTTGTTTGAAGGCGAGTAAATAAAGCCGTAATTCATCAAGTATTCAGTGCTATACTGCCTACATTTTTTCTTAGCTTCAGCCATAATTTGTGTATCTCCGATAAGCAAAAATGTTTATAATAATTTGAAAACTGGTCAGTCCATGTTCACCAATTACACTATGCAACACTAAAAAATTCACAGAAAGTTCAGATAGCGTTTGAGGTTGGGTATACTCCATATACTAAAGAAAAAAATGTTTTATACTCATATCACATCACAAAACATAGATAACGGGTGTTTTGTTTTTCTTACTTTTTGGGACACTTGATTGCATTTAATCGTAAAAATATCGCTTTTATGTATCCGCCCATGCTTGCAGACTTCTGTTGGTGTCTTCAGAGGGATACTGCAAGATCTGGCTACAATAGGAATGCCAATCGTTCGAAAAAAAAGACCTTTTTCAATGAAAAATGAAGTATTGTTTTATTAATTTTGTATGATTTCAAAAAATTCAATAAACACTTTTCATTGTGATACCTGATGTGGATAGGTTGGGTACCTATACTCCATATACTAAAGAAAAAATGTTTTATACTCATATCATATCACAAAACATAGATAACGGGTGTTTTGTTTTTCTTACTTTTTGGGACACTTGATTGCATTTAATCGTAAAAATATCGCTTTTATGTATCCGCCCATGCTTGCAGACTTCTGTTGGTGTCTTCAGAGGGATACTGCAAGATCTGGCTACAATAGGAATGCCAATCGTTCGAAAAAAAAGACCTTTTTCAATGAAAAATGAAGTATTGTTTTATTAATTTTGTATGATTTCAAAAAATTCAATAAACACTTTTCATTTTGAAACCTGATGTGATACGATTCTTTCAAGCATAATCCTCAATTGAGTTTGAGGTAAGAAATTTTAACTACATACTGTACATTCTGTGAATTTTATTTTTTTTTTAATTTGTTGCATAGTGTTATTTGAATTACTTCAAGTAAGGTGTTTCGCTTTATTTCTTGATGAAGTGTTTTTGCAATGAGTGATTCAACTTCTTGTAGGAAAGTGATTAATTGATTAGAGGGAAATGTTAAATGACCCCTACTTCGAAAAATGATGAAGGTATTAAATTCTTCAATCCCATCCCCTATAATAGTTTCAACATAATTTGCACATTCTTCTAATTTATGCCTCCTAGCAATTAAACCACATACATATGCAAATGCTTCTTCATTATCTCTGAAACTTACAGTAGTCCCAAAATTAATATCATTTTGCAATGCTTTGTCAAGTTCTAGGTCAAATTTTTCTTTAATACTCATTGCTTGATCTTTATTGCAGTGTAGCGCTATTATGAGGGCCTCCAACATACTACCACCTGACACGTTGCTTCCTTTTGGGGGTTTAATTAAAGAATATAGTGACAACAGCCGAAAAATCTGTGCAATTTGTCCAGATTCAGGACTGCTATTGGCTCTCCCGCTAGCACGTAGCAACCCAAAAAAATGTTTGAAAGGATTCTGATTAATTCTGGTAGTCATTAGGTACTCAAATTTTAATTCGTTGGTCCATTACTCAAGTAAATACAAAGTTGTGTTAATAGTGGCTTTGAGCCCTTCAGCTGTCGATTTTGTTAAAAAGTACTGAGGTTCAGAGCAAGATTCCCACATTGTAAATGTTATGTCTGGTTTATTTAATGATGATGGCCGTTACGAATTAACAATCTTTATTTACAACAGTCTGGGCTCTGGGATACATGTTCTCGTTGAGACGGTCGGTGGTAAAAGAGGGCGATTGTGCTGGTGCAATGCCCAAAGTGCGTTTTTACTGGTGGTCGGGTTATTACAATAAGTTATACAACCTCCTATACACAAATGCTTAACTAGTCACATATACTACATATCTCCTCCCTTATGTTCGAAATTAATTCTAAATATCCTTGTTAATACAAAATAATAATAACCTTAACTAACAATATAAAATCAATAAGTATAACTATACATATGAATGTTCGATACTAACGCTTGTCAAAGTCTGTAAATTTGTTAGGTAGCTTTACAATTCTGATAGGTCTATTATGACTTGTTCTCGGATTGCTGGCTGGCTCAACGTGTGCATCTGGCAAACTTGAATCTGGAACATGGTGTGAAATTTCAGGCTCTATTTCAGATTCTGCCTGTAATGTTGCCTTCACATCCATTGAGTCAACCGCGTTCATACCTGCTGGATTAAACATAATGTTAAAATTTTGAATAAAATCTCTGCCTAAAAGAGCTGCTGTTGCCTTTTCTATTACAAATATTTTCAATTCTCTACCAATAGTTTTATATTCAATAAATGCATTTTTATATATCCTAATGGAACTATGATCTCGCCAATATAACCCTTAAATGTCATTGTGGTTGGTACAATATTGAGATCGTGAAATTTACTTAAATAAAATTGTTTGCTGATTGCAGATATAGCCGATCCTGAGGCTAGCTGCATTAGAATATTCTTACCATTAACTATTACATTAAATTCTATTGGTTTTACATTGCAACTTACATTGTAAATTACATTAATTACGTTGTTTTCGTTGTTACCGTTACTCTCGTCGTGATTGATAAAATTTTCGTTATTTTTTACTATAATTTTGGCTTCTTTCTCAGCGTTTTGCAATGAATTAATGTGGCTTACCTGTTTACGACGCAAGTCATATAAGCAAACAACAATATGAGGAAAATGGACAACGGACTCACCCTAATTGCAACGATCTTCCTCGACGATTTCTCTTGATTGAAGGCACCTGGGCCTTTTGTAGATACGAAGAAAAGGCGCTGGGGCCTCTTGCATCAACGAAAATGAAACAACAATAACAATAACAACGGGCCGCCACGAGATGTTCTCACTTCGACGGTTAACGAACAACGCATAAACAAACCACTCTATAGACTGTTAACACAAATGGGAGGAACACGGTTGGCAAAGTGAATTCGCTCACAAGTATGAGATGGCGCTATCACGCTGGGAGTAGATCATTTGGAAGCGTGCGACTTTATCGACGGATAAATTCTGTTAAATTTGTCATCGTACGTTTCATTTCATTCATAGATTTCATTCAGATTAGAATTGAAACGCGCAATATTACGCGCAGCACGTCGTAGTTTTTGTTCGTTCAAAATCCACGTGAAAAGTAGAAGTGTAGGTGTTTGTTTTTTAAATTATGGGTTACGTGAAATGTTGTGTACCCAATTGTTTGGACAAAACATCGTCGAGACATCGCTTTCCAAATCCGAAAAAGCACATGGCTCGATTTTTAGAGTGGAAAGCAAGGATTGGAAATTCCAGGTTTCTGGAGCTAGAACCACCGCAAATTTATAATTTAATGCAAGTGTGTCATCTCCACTTTGAAACGCAATATTTCTCACCTGGTGCAAAAAGACTTCACTTGAATGCTGTACCAACGCTTTTTTTGCCAGAATGTGGTAAGCATAATAATTACTAAATCTATTTTTCTAGAAATACTTTATCAGGATAAAAAATTTGTTTAACTTGGTATTACATTGCAGCTCCCAATAGCATTGAAAATGAAGCAGTGGAAATAAACAGTTCAGGTAATGTTGGTATTGAATTTATATCATTCTTATAAATTATAAAATTTTTAGACGCTGATCAGCAGAACACTATCCTTCGTAGCGTCGAAGTAAATGCCACGTTAAAAGAAGCGCCCAATGAAATCAAAGGTAAAGTTTGCCAGCAAAGACAGTAATATAAATACCTATAACATTATAATTATTTCAGAGCTAAGGATGTATGATACACCACTCAAAATGTTGAAAAGTATTGGTGTTCCAAATACTAAAAATTTTACACCAAAAAAGAAGAATCTTTATGGTCTCGTAAGGCGACTATCGAAAACATTGAAGAGGACCTCCGCTGCAAAACAGTCTTTTAGGCAAAGATTGTTTCAAGCCGAAAGATTTGCTAGTGAAAACGCGCTAAACACAAACATTTCGAAACTAAATGCGCTGGCTGCGCAATTCATTAACTGCCAGTTGCGCGAAACTGGCAAAGCTCCCCGACAACATAGATTTACAACAGAAGAGAAAATTTTGGCTTTGACATTATATAATCAAGGTCCCAAGGCTTATAGATTTTTATCCAAAATTTTCACATTGCCAAGTAAATCAACATTAAATAATTTTTTGAAGTTAGTAAGTGTTGATGCTGGAATAAATTCCAACATTTTTGAGGCGTTGAAAACTTCAACAGAAACAATGAGTCCCTCTGAAAAATTCGTGTCTCTGATCTGGGATGAAATGGCTATACGACCGGGGTTACATTTTAATGAAAGGAAAGGTTACATTGAAGGCTTCGGTGATATGGGGAACGGAAAAAGAGTTGATGACATTGCCGACCACGTATTGGTATTTATAATTAGGGGGATAAAGAAGAAATTCAAACAACCTATTTGTTATGCTTTTTCTTGTAAGGGGGGTGCAAAATGGTCGGAAATTAAATATCTGGTTTCAAGAATTATTGAAATGTTGATTGATATTGGGCTTAAACCGATTGCAACTATATGTGATCAAGCAACTACCAACGTTAAAGTCCTAAATTCATTAATTTTTGATAGTAAAACAGATTACTTAAAAAAAGGACTGGAATTTCAAGGAGGATTTTTTGAGAACAATGGCTACAAAATTTACCCAATTTTTGATCCGCCTCACCTTATTAAAGGAATTAGAAATAATTTCCTCAATAAGAAGATTTCTTTTGAAATGAACGGGAAAAAAATGGTCGCCAACTGGGAACACATAGTGAAGCTATATGAGAAGGACAACGGTCCAAATACGGTTGACGGGTTACGAGCTCTATCACATTTGCATGACGAGCACATTTATGCATCAAAAATGAAAAAAATGAAGGTGAAATACGCCACCCAACTTTTTAGTCAACGATTGGCGTCAACTCTTAAACTCGCAAGTTCTCTGGGTATGAAAATTATATAAAAATTGTAACTTGTTATGAATATTTGTTTTTCAGATTCAGCAGAAGTTTTGGCTAAAGGCGTAGAACAGACAGCTGAATTATTGTTCTTTTTTGATCGGCTTTTTGACTCCGTGAACGGAAGCAGCGCCACCCCTCAAAAAGGAAAGCTACTGCGTTGCGGAATCAACGACAAAAGCAAGCATTTTGATTTTTGGACGAAGGAAGCATTACCTGTATTGAGTTCAATGAAATTCATTTCTGTCAATGCAGGCGACAAAGAAAGACCACCTTCGTTAAAAAATTGGTCATTCACAATTAAAAATTTTATGAATATTTGGAATGTTCTCAAAGGAAATGGTTTTGATTACTTACTCGGACGTCATTTAAATCAAGATCCACTAGAAAATTTGTTTGGACAAGTGAGGGGCCAGGCCGTTTTTAATAATAATCCAACGCCGTCGGCATTTGTTGCAATTTTTAAAAGCATGTTAATCAATTCGAGTTTGAAGATATATAGTGGAAATTTCAACTGCGAGAACGATAATTGTGAAAAGCTATTTGGAGGTATAGAACATTTTTTTAAACCAAATTTAGAACCGAGGTTGATTGAATTGGGAAGATCAGAAACAATTTCTCATTCGAACGAATTTGAAGTGGAAAATTTAGATGGGGCCGTGCTACAATTAGCTTTAAGTGAACTTAGCAACAATTATGTTGCTGGGTTCATTCTTAAAAAAATAAAGAAGAAAGTAATGCATTGTGAACAATGCAAAGATGAGATGTTTGGTGCTTCACACGATGAAAATAATGCTCTCATCAAAAGTAGGGAATATGGTGGTGGATGGAATCAGCGACTGTGCTATCCGTCCCATAGATTTGCTGTATATTTTTATGAAACGCAGCAATTTATTCATAATTATTTAAAAGACGCACCATCCAATATGCTGTTAAAAATTGATTTACAAAACGGCATGCTGAATAGAGATGTGAAATTAATACCAGCATGCCAAAATCATCAAAACGATGTCCGTTTATTTGTTAATAGCATGTGTATTCGCACCTTGGTGCATGCCTGGTGCAAAGAAATTAATTTAATATTGTGCGGTAAAAACACGGTTCGTCCAACTAATAGTTGTCCTGTGAAAATAAAAGCTTTTAATATGTTCAAAAAACGTCACAGAAGAATGAAACAAAGTATAAAAATTTTATAAGTATGTTTATGCTATTCTTTGTTAATATATTAATAAATTTACTTTTCCTCGATCATTTATTTCTCTCTGCCTATACCATGAAAAAATTTGAATATCCCTCCCTCATATCCTATTCTTTCCTATGTGCGCTCACAAACACCAGAGGCGCTGTGATTTGTGTCAATTTTGTTTTCAAGTCCGTTCAGCGTCTATAGTAGTAGTTTGTTTATGGAACAACGAAGAAAATTCGTTACAAATATTTTTAAATTTTCTTCTCCCAGAGGGCGGCTTTCTTGTGTGGGTGGGGATTATCGGCGGGTGGTAGTTAAGGGTAGGCAATAAGGGGGTGGACGGGAATTGCTGCTTGCCTATCTTTCGCAACCATAAACATATGTACGAAACATTACCTCTCTGCACACGCTTTGTAGATGTCCAATTTTGCCGCAGCTATTGCATTGGTACTCCTTGTACCTGCAGATTCCGCCGTGTTTCTTGCCGCAACATTTGCACGTGACACCGCCATTACTTGCGTTGCCATTTTCCATTCGTCTCCCATAAGCTGGTTTCCATGCACGAGTTTGATTCGTGCCTTGCCTTGGACGCATAAATGTCGGTTCTCCTGCTCTTCCTTCACCAGAATGCCGTCCTGTTTGCTTTGGAACTGAAGTCTCTTGAATCTGTGTATTGCGAGTAGGGCCAATAGCATTGATTCTTCCGTCGTCATTGTAGGTCATCGTTAGTTCTTTTGTTGCTGCGATCTCCATCAACCTTGCTAAGGATTGTGAGGTTGGTTCTTTTACGATTCTATCTAGAACTGGTCCTGACTTCATACCTGATATGAATCTGTCTTTTAATATTTCTTCTAACGAGCTGAAATTACAGTTCACTGCTAAGCTTCTCAACCGTGCATGCCATTCCGTGGTAGTTTCATCGGTTGCTTGAAATGCGTGATAAAATTTTATTCTCTCTCGGTAAACATTGACTTGTGGGCTAAAATGTGTTTTCAGTTCGGCCGTTAACTCTTCATATTTTTTGTCTTTTGGTAATACCGGAAAGGTTAGGTCGCGCAGGGTTTTATTATACACATCCTGACTAACCTGGCTCAGTAACAATGCGGTCTTCGACTTTTCACTCTCAATCTTATTCGCCAAACAAAATTGCTCAAACCTCTCTTCATATAAAGTAAAATCTTCATTTTGATTAAATTCCGATATCGCTCCGATGTACATTTTTAATTATCCTTTTCTTCCTTTTCGTTGTTCTTGCTTCAATTGCCCTTGAGAGGGCGATTGTGCTGGTGCAATGCACAAAGTGGGGTTGTTACAATAAGTTATACAACCTCCTATATACAAATCCTTAACTAGTCACATACTACAGTAAATCAATCAAGAAATCTTCTAAGGCCGCCTGTTGCTGAGAAGATTGCCTTAGGCTATTAAAACGATTACTTGAGTTTAAAATATCAGACAACTCATTAAGGCGTCTACTAAATTGGATTGTCGGCTGGCAGTTGACAAATTGTGGTATCTGTTTGTCTTTTAACGCCGTTAGGGTATATGCAACAGTACCGCTAAATAATTGAAAGGCATATTTGGTGGTCATCTTTTCGTGCTGTTCTGGATGTACATGTTTCCGTGTCAATTTGTAGGCGTATTTAAAATGGTTCTTGGCATCATATTGTTGCGCGTAGGGGTTGGCAATTGAAACAGATAGGGCACTATACCAATTTTATTGGAAGAAAATGTCGCTGGTACGGGTGTTGGTTACAATTATCACTTGTCTGCTACAACTACAACTACTCCTACAACTGCTTCTTCAACTACTCCCCTTCAGGTTGCGACCCAAAAGTTATATATTGACAACTATAGTCATGTGACCGGCCATAGTTGCGGAGTAATGACACGACCTCCTCAATTTTGATTGAATCGATACTTTGCAATCGCGGAAAAGGAAATGCAACTCAGCTTAACTTCGGACTCGCTTCTTCCTAACTACGCTTGCACATGGTGCCGCAGCAACCCCAATTAAACGGGATATTTCACAATATTCCAACAAATTCTCAAAATCGGCCAACCGACCACGCCCTTCGGGAACATGGAATTCTTTTTAGGCCACGAGACGATTACGTATGCATTTTAACAGATGCGAAAAATCAGAACACATTCTCAATTTTCTGTTGTTCTTACAGGGATGGATGCACCATGGAGCTTGTGGATTCCCAGCATTAAATGATTTCCACATGGCCCTATTCCATGTAGCACCATCAGCAATAACTACATCAACGAACAGCCCAGTTGCTTCACAGAGTGTCACCGCTTCCAAAACAAGTTTTGCTTGAATTGTCCCTAACACACTGCCTCTGGACAGAAAACATCCAACTGCTTATACATGCTTTCCTGCAAATGATTGGAACATCATTACAAGGGCATGGCCACCAAGTTGATCTTTTTGAGGTTCAGGTGTATACTCCCCTAGGTCTACAAATCCCATCACTTCCAACCAATTCTTATCAAAATATTTGCAAGGGTTAATTTTGCACTCATCCACCATTAACGTCCTATGACATTCCCGCTTAGGAATATTTTTTGTTTTTTTCTTCAGGGCTTTGAATAACTGGGTTTGAAACCCATAGGAACTGTCATATTCCTGATATAGTTTGACAATGTACTGGGCGACGATAAAGGCAATAATTCCCTGCTTCTTAAATGCCTGTAAAGTTTAGGGCTTTTAATTCTTATCAGAAGACAAGTATCAATCCAGTCCTTGGTGTATCGTTTTCCTCTAGGAGCTTTGCCTGCAGTCTCAAAACAAGTTTTTACTGCCAGTTTCTGGTTTTCAGGTAACCTCGCAATAAAGCCATGTTCGGAACAGTTCCCATTGCCGATTTTAATTTGGCACATTTTTGTAGATCCCTAATCTTCTGACTTTGTTTAACTTGTTTTGACAACAAGTAGGAATATCGTTTTCGTTTACGCTCTTGTTTTACAATCAGCTGTGTCGTTTTTTCGGGTTTTTGCATTTTTTTTTTCTGATTAAAGCACATGCCCTACATCTCTCTTGACTTCATTTGGGTGTTTTCGCCAGTGCAAAAAGAACTAACTTTGCCGTCAACACATGAACCATTGCATACTTTTATGGAATGTACCGATTTAATTAGCGTCACTAATTCTTCCCAGGTACCAGGTAGAAAATCAGGAGTGCGACAAATATTTTTGATCATCAGTTTAAGGTCTCCTTTACTGTCAATAATGATGGTTTTATCTATTGCAAGAATTGTGCCAGAAATATGATATATTGTGATTTTAGAAATCCCTGCATGAATTCCCCACTCTAGGAAGCAACCCAACTAGTTTCTGCAAATTTTCTTTCAAAACCTCATACAGTGTTGAAATGAAAGATGAGAGGAGTTTTTTTTCTATTTGTGTAGGACTTTTAGATGGTTCAGAGGCAGGGATGTACCTAGGTATGTGAACCTTGAGATCTAAAACAGATTGTACCTAATTAGTTTCAACAGTCTTTTGGTTACTTTTACGCTTGTACGAATTAAATTTTATACTGGAATGCATTGTTTTTAAGCACTATAAAACAGGAGAAAACAGACCTTGATTTAAGACGACATTTTAACGGACGGACAGGAACTACAGGAGGAGACGGGGACTGCTGGTTCCTAAGTTTTAATATGGAATGGCATCTACCATCAGAGTTCGTCTAATTTTGCCATAATTCACAAATTCACGTATGAAATGTTTAGCAAAATGTTTCATGCTAACATGCTCATTTTTTGACAAAATTGTGCCCAAAGCCTCATTCCATGTTTGCAGTTTGTGTGTATCCTGTAAATCAAGTTTAAAAATACATATAACGTGTAAGGAAAAAATACCGGATTGTTTTATTTTTAGGAGTATTTCTGCAAAATGTTTTACCGTTGGAACTTGGAACAAGGATAAATCGGTATTGGAAACTTTGACAAAGCCGCATAACGCACACTTCGTCATGTTGTTGTTTTTAGTAAACTTTAAATTCGCCTAGATCAGTGATCAGTCTGATTTTGACGCGGTTTGACAATCTGACATTAGGTAGTATTAGAAGCAGTGTTGACGTACCTACATATGGTGCTGCCATCTAGCAATTTTTGTTCAAACTGCCAACTAGACCTTCGTTTTGGAAAACAAAATGGCGGTGAGTTGGTATACCAGAGTCTATTTATATCACGGGAACAACTAAAACTTTATTAAATAAACTGATTTCATCTACAATAGTTTTGAAATTAAAAACTAAACATAATTTCTAGAAACAAATTGCAAACTTATATTTTCGCAGATCACACTAAAACATACCAATCGATCTCCGACGGCAACATAAGGCTTGCTCCCTCCTGTCATTCTACCTCCAGGGTTTAAGCGAGGACCCGGGTGGGTTAGTTAGCTCCGTGCTTGCCCGCCACACCTTGGGTCGTGGGTTCGATTCCCGGCCTGCCTCTGGGTGTTGTGTTTGTCCTGTCTCCTGTAATTGGGCCTCCGGCCTGTTGGAGACATAATATAGAATAGAATAGAATAGAATAAAAATTTTAATTTTTCGCGGGGTTTTTAAACTTTGTGCTTATTGTCACGTCCTGTGACCTTTAGGGGTGTTATATAAAAACATTTGTCTCCTTATTCTATGATTTATTACCTACTAACTACAAAACTAAGTATATGGAGTTGGTACTTACTTAATCATTACGGTTGTCTTTGGCAGTCTTGAAGGGACCCACCCTGTCACCGTCTCTAACTCTAACGGTCACTCACTGTCCTCGATTTCCCACTCTCCAAGTTCCTTCTGCTGGCCCAAGCATTTCGCAGTTTCTTTGCGAAATACTTGGCATCAGCCAAACTTACTTTTTGAGGGCAAATCGGTTTCGTAACTTGTTGCTAACTGTGACATTATGTTAACACAGAATGGTGCAATGTCACCACGATGCGTTGTTTGTCTATTTTATTGTTGTTTTCGTATACTACCGTTTTGCTGTTTTGTTTCATGTAATCGGAGCCCAAGCGAGGACAACTAACGACGACGGCTAGACCCCAACGACAGACAAGGCAGCCGAAACCGAAGCGGTAATGACACAACCACGACCCAAGACAAGGACAACCGAGCCCGGCGACGAGAGACCTCGACGAAGTTGCTATCTAGCTTCCAACAGCGACCAAAGCCCCAAGTACGAAACAAGCAAGGGGGACGTTAACACCAGCCCCAATGAACGAACAGGAGACAATTGTTTGCCTGTTTTTCTTTTCTCTGTCAGAAAGTTCATCTAAGAAGCCACAGAAATTTCTGTAGGAATTTGAGTTTCTGCGCTTGGCAGAATTTCCAGACGGGAGGTTTCCGTAGAATTTCATGATAGCCCATGTTCGCGAAAATATACTAATGGGAAAAATAATGGCCTCCACTAAGTTACAACTTACATGTGATGTGTGTGTGTGTCAGCGATATGGCGATGAGAGGGATGAGTAGCGACGAAAGTAATTAATAAGAGACGACACACAGGGGTGTTTTATCGAACTGGCCCATTACGAAGGCAAAATAATTGGTTGTTCTTCGCCATTTTCATCCATTTTTTTCACACACATGTGAGGATGACAGACGTGGTGATCCCGAACGTCTGGTTGGACCGGAGGTATGGACGTAAACATAATTGCAGGGGACAATTATTGAAAAAAAAAAAAAACTGATTAACACTAGACGATTAACACCAAAATACGCCTAGACTTACTTTTGAAATGGATTGAAATTCCAAAATGACCTGCGTAGAAATTAATACCCCTGTTTGACATGGTTTCCAGATATATTTTGATCCTACTTTCATCTCTCTAAACAACACGTTGTAGTGGCGGGAAGACGTTCTTTCATACAAGTGCGCATACACTGCGTGCGAGTAGAGAGCGCAAGAAATAATGGACAAAATTTTTAGGAGGGGGCTAAAATTCGCACCCCCTCTCTAGGAGGAAAAGACCTGCGAGCATCCACTCCTCAGCCCCAAAAACCCCCTATCGTATATTCACCGACATGTTACATTTCAAACGAAACACCTTAAAAATATGAAAGAAAAGACACTCGCGATTTGACAGACATACACATATGAAAACCGAACAAACACAAAATCCTACACATGTTTTGAATCAATGCCCATATTTGAATAACACAAATTTAATAAAGCAAAGCAAAATCTGAATTAAAGTAACTGGATGCA